GTAATATATGGTACTCGACATTTAATTTAACAAATGATACCAGATCTGATACCACTAAAGTACATTTAGTAATTCGGAACAGACACTGAATTTCATGTTGATACAACTTACTCTCTTTTTCAAAAGTGCATCTCCCCTTTTCCTTGGTAATCGTTAAAATAATTCCCTCCCTTCTTTCTGTTTGACAGTAATTTACTAGTTATCTCCCTTTTAACAAGCCACTCTGATTACTAGCACCATAAATAATCAGAAGACTTAAATTATCACGACTCTTATTGTTATAATGATAGACAAGAAACATTAATAAAGAATATTATTTTTTACAGGAACCTGTGTAGTCCACTGAAAAGGACATTGTGACATACGGTTCCAACTCAGAAAATTAATAAGTAATAATATCCAATATTGTTGATTACAATATACATCACGATTTGTAGTGCCGAATACACTTTAGTGAATAAAAAAAAATGGAATAAATTTAACCGCATTGGATATATTTGTTCATTATGGAATGAAATGAATTCGCGTGTTAGGACTTGTAATACTTGAGGTGACCGGAATACACAGGGAAAACACATCTGGATTGGCAGGTTACTACACAAGTTGGATGGGAGAATCAAACCCAATTTTGAAGGATGATTTCGTTACCACTGGGTCACGTGACCACATGTAAAATGAATTATCCTTTATTAAACTCTAAAATGTGCATATAGAACTCTTCAAGTACATTATTGATATTATACACATGTATGTTTCAATGCAACAAGTACTTATATCATTAAAATATATTGGGTATTAGAGGGATCCACAAATTTTAAACCATTCTATGGATATGTTTTAATCATCATTAAGAATTGTCCAAAAATGTAAATATATCAAAAGTCTAGTGTAGTGATGTATTCATGCAGGTGTTTACGCGCGTGAGGACGTACGTGAATGTTTGTACAGCGTGTGGAGAGGGCAAGTCTGCATGTGTGAGAGTGTGAGAACAAATATTGCCTGAGATTTTCTTAGATAAGACACAGTCGCAAACTTAGTTTTCATGCATCATGCTACACAAACGTTTTCTTGCATAATTGTAAAACAAGTTATCTTTGAGCAGTAATTGATTGTATACGAAAATGTAACATTTGTTATTTTTTCTTAAATTGATCGAGTTTTGTATAATTATTATCGTTTCGTGACGTTTATAAAAGGATATATCTAAATATATTTCACTAAGTACATTTTTATCAGCTGATACCGGAAAAAAATATAAAGAAATACAAATATAGCAAAGAGCACTAAATACATTCATACAAACTAATGCCCTGGTAAAATATGATTTCTTTATGTATGTTCAATCAGTACATAAATCATTCCATACCACATGACAGGTAAGGAAATATTAATTAAATAGACGGACATTAAATTTCTGTTTTTCCCTGTTGGTTCTTACTGTAGAATGTAGATACACACATCTCTCGGTTACTTATCAAAATGTCTTTCCGTTAGTATCAATATGCTGTACATTTTAGAGGCACAGAATCAACTTCAGTGGATATCGTCCTCTGCACTTTTAATAACACGAACAAATAATACCTATTCGTATAGATTCAACAGTTTATTTAGAAAAGTAAACAACTTGTATGTCGCTATGTACACAACTCAAAACAACGCTGGATTACCAGAGTATTGCCGACGTGACGTACTATGAAATATGACAAAAAACATGATAAAATAATTCCTCTACAGACAATGTTCTCTTTTGTTTCATAGTTTTACAATTTCATTAACTTAAGAAATCAACTATAATATCATACACGAACTCTTTTCCTGTAAACAATGAAAGCATGCCAATGACAGATAAGAATTGTGTAAATATTATATTATAAACTATACCTGAATATCCACATTTTTTTGTGTCAACTTGTTCATGCATTCTCGATTAAAAGTATCCTGTATCAAAGCAATTTCAGAAATATCAAGTCAATTGAAGGATGCTTGTTTCATGAAGTAGTACATATATAAATCGTTCCATTTTGAATTTCAATAAGATGTAAATCACCTGTAGGCAACATTACTTAGTCACGATTAACATATTAAACAGTACATGTATTAATGACAATTCAAGAGTTTATTTTTTAGATCAATACAAAAAAAATTTCCCTCTATTGTAAAAATTTGAAAGAATATTTAATCAAAATATAGATCATGTAATATACATACTAAAGAGCACTGCACCAAGAATAAAACGATGTATTAAGAGATAAGCGAGTTATTTTTTAAACAGCAGTTTGTAGTAGAGTTAGTTATGTACATACACAATACAGCATAATGCTTCATGGTACAGCATTGCGCAATGACTGGCGTTAATGACATCATTTAATTACTAGTTTGTCATCAAAATAACCCTGAGTTATATACAGATAACACAACATTGCATTAAACTTTCACAGAAAGCTATTCTAGTTCAAACAATGATACAATGTAACAGTTAAAACCATAATAATTCCGTCAAAACTGGACCATCACAATTATGTTGCTCTCTGCTTTTATTTGTGATAGATAAAGGTATAATAATCTACTCAGGACACAAAACATGAAATAATGTTATGCTTGCTGACACCGTTTTACGGTACCGAGATATTTTCGCCCCCAGATATGTACGCCCTAATTCGATTCACGTTCATTTCGCTCTGTGAGGATTATCCGTGTAACAAATTTTCGCCTCCATCTTAAATTCACCCTAGCTGTCCATGACAGAAAATTTCCCGGTATACAGTATCATTGCTTTAACACTGGAATTTATTTCCACAGTTATCAAAACAGTTTTTTTTAGTTTTGAATAATTTCACTTTGGTAAAAAAAAAAGCATCAAGAAAATGTAAACATGACAGCATAATCATAATTCAAACTCATATTCTGTAAACCTAGGGCAAACTAAAGACTAAAGAAAGATTTAATCGGAAACTATTGAATACAAAAATGTACAAGGAGAATAAGACCAAGTGTTCCGGAAGAGTAAGCTCAAAGGCGTATGATGAGTTATTTTTCTGTTGTCGGTGTAATGTAGCGTTGTTTAATGAATTGTTTGCCCTGAATATATGAAATGCATTCATTGCATTTTGTATGTAATGAAGCTATGTATTTATGTTTCGAAAAAAATGCTCTGAAACTTCGCAAAGTCTTTGTTAATATTGCTCTGAAATGCATTCACACACTATTGTGTGGGTACAATACCCAATTTGAACGAAACCCGCCGATATTACCTATAATGAATAACACTATTTTTACACTTGACAAAGATACATTCAACAATGGTATTATGTAATGAAATCACGTTTGTTCAGAAACATGTATTAGCCAACAAGCACTGTACAACAATGTCACTGTAAAATAGACAATAATTAAGGCCAATGGAAGTGCGATCACAACCCGTGGAAAATATTCTCCAATTACCAAACATCGCGCGTCCTGTCTGATTGTTAACTTAAGTGTCTCTTCCCGGCGACCGAGATCACCCTATCTCACGATGAATGAGTTGACTGATTATAATTTTTTCTCGGTTTCCTCCTTCTCTCCATGGCATCTACGCAGGTAAAATGTTTGATGACGTGACGCAATTGAATTGTTGTTATGACGTCATACTTTTACCAACCTAGAAACCTCACATCCTCGTGGAGTATGGCGAGGAAATCTCTCCCTATTTAAAGCCTGTGTAGATCGGTAGCTAGGAAATTTGCACATTGGCATATTTCGGATTAAATCTAATTGACATTTTCGATGTCTGATTACAATACGTTAATAGAAAATTAGTTTGAGTTATTATTTACATTTAGCGGGTTTTGACATTTTTTTCAACACGATGAAGTAATTTTCACCTCCAATGAATATAAAAAACCAAAAAAGTCAATTTGGGCAGTGTGTAAAAAATATTGAACACATTCGGCTCGATCTATCTCGTAAAAAGAAAGATTCTGGAGATGATATAGCATTTGTGTCACGTTTCTGTCCGAGGGTCATTAATATATATTAAGATAAACCTGTATCAAACATGGTAATGGACGACTGCCACAGCTTAAGAATAAGAGACGTGATGAACTAGAGGAACTGATTTTGAAGAGGTGTTGATAGACCGTTTTAGATCAGGGTAGAATTGAATGAGAGAGTTAACGGCAGAGCAGACAAAGAGGGAAAACATATTGAGATGAGGAAGAGAAGGATAAGGTAGGGAGGATAGAAGTAATTGTATGAAAATAGAGACTGCGAATCGTGAAAGAGGAGGAGAGGAGCAGGGAGGGTGTACTAACATGACAGAAAGGAAATGATGATAGGGTTTGATAAGAGAATATAGAGTGAGAGAGGAGAAGAGGAGCAGAGAGGGTGTACAAATGACAGAAAGGAAATGAGGATAGGGTTTGATAAGAGAATATAGAGTGCTAATATGGACAAATGAACATTTTTGACAAGGTTTGATCTGATAACAGAGGATAAATGTAAGCAGTCAAAATATGGAATATTAGAGTAAGTAGACAATAACAGGAACAAGGTAAACATATACTTATACATATATAAGGAATTACAGGATCAGAGGATAGGAGGTGATAGAAACGTCGTGAGAGAGCCACATTTGGACCAGGTGATGAGTCAGGAAGGAGAATCATAATGACTATAACAATGCATTATACATCAAACCTATTATTTCATTTTTGTGTTGATATGACAGAAAATTATATCTTTTGAATAGAAACAGAATTAACGTCAGCAAATCCTGAAGAAGTAAAAATTTGCTTATATCATAAAACGTTTTACATTAGGAATCAGTTGTAGATTTGTAACACTGCCTCCACATATAATTCTACACCGATGTATACACAAACAGATTTTCGATTGCGGAGAATATAAGCTTACACGTTTAAGGTAAATAAATGTATAATATTACATGTGCAATTCACCACAAGATAAGTTCTGGCAAGTAAACGCGAGAACACGTCTTCAAAGAAAACCGACTAAAATTATGCAAATTTAAACATTACCATATAGTATCCACATTTTATGAAACGTATCAAATAGAGTGTTACATTGGCATTGAATATCTAATGAACCATTTCTATAAATGTACCTTGAACTTGACTGAGGTCATTTTGAATTTGAATAGCGTTTTCATGCTTTGATTGTGATATATTGTGGAAGGAACTTCTCCTAGCAATGCAGTTGGACATGTTCCCTTTGCTAGTATTTAGGTGACAATTATTTTCAATTAGTGTCCCTTCTGACGATAAAGTTGATACACAGGGCAAACTATTTCTGCTTATCTTGCAAAATCCATTTTCACTTTTCTTATGATCCTTATTCTCCAAATGATTACCATTTGATACGCATGAATGATGTTTGCCTTTTTCAGTCAAGATATCATTATTCCCCTTCGTATAACATATCGATCCATTTGATTGACAACATTTATGGCCGTGGTCTATGTCAGGTTTTTTCACTTCATTTCCTGTTTCTGAGTCTTTATTTGGTTGTGAATTTTTGTCATCTGAATAAGCGTTTTCAATTTTTGCTACAGGGTGCGCCAGGGTGTCTATATCATGCACCACTGCACACACTGAAAAGACTGTTGGCTTCACTCTGAGGGGTGGCTGATCGTCTTTTAAATCATCTTGAATTACAATTTCAGGTAAATCCTCGCCATTTTCTGTGTGTTTCTCGGCGATCTCCGTTACACAAGTAGTAACACTAGTTTTGCCATTTTCAGTAATTGTCAAGACGTCATTTACATCGTAGTCCTGTTTGGCATCGGAGCGAACAGACACTAAGCGACGTCTACGCTTGGAAGACGATAATGGTGACGTGGTTTGATAGGATAATTCACATTGGGTCTCAGCGTCAACCATACGTACTGGTTTATGACACAAATTATTCTGTATTAATTCTAGGTTTTCTTCTGTACATTTTTTGCTTTTTTTCTTAGCCACTTCATCTTTTGTATTTCGCCGGGACATTTTAGGTGCATCTTCGGAGACCGATCTCCTAAGGTTTTCTAATCGGATGACATTAGATATACTTCTCGATGGACTTGGTCTGTGGCACTCTGTGCTCATCTGTCGCCCATATGTCCTGTTTGTTGCCGACTGTAATGACTCTGCAGATGCAGCGTTAACTGTTATGTTCATTCTCGACCCTGTCTTTCGTGGGCTCCCATCTATGCGATCCACACTATTGTATCGAACACTCTTTGGCGACATCGGTGATTTTTGATAAGCGCCCTTTAATCTCATATAGTTGTCAAGAGCTGGTTTAATAGAAAATCTACTCTCCTGTGGTAGTTTAACTTGACCTTTCGCAGTCTTTTTCGTGAAATGGGGTTGTTTCGGTGATGGACTGCCATCTGATGGTATCTGTTTCAATTCAATTTCAAGGTTGCTTTCTTTTTCTATTTTCTGAAGATATTGTGAATATGACGTGACTGTGTCGTACATTTGAGAGTCCATGCGATACTGTAGAGATCTGGATGACGTGATAGTTTCATAAGCACCGGATCGCAGGTAGGAATTATACGAGTTCACTGTGTCGTAATTATCGCCAATATCTACGTCGTTAAAATGCTTATCTCCTTGAACTAAAATTACATAGCTGGCAACATCATAGCTGCATCCCCTGTCCTTGATCTTTGAACTATCTCTGTACCATTTACAGGCACGAAAAAATACAAAAATAAACAGAAAGAGAATTGCCAATCCTGGCAAAAAAGCCAAGTTAAGTTTCGATTTCTTCTTAGGCTTTGTTTGATAATCATCCAACCATTCAGGTACACTTGTATCACGGAAAGACACCGTATTAGAACCAGGGTTCTCCTTACTAATAACGAAGTCCGAACGATTTTGAATTGTCGAGAGATTTGCCAAATCAAGCGTGTGGTCTCCATCTGTAATCCCATCAGCTCTCACGATGTCTAGACATATCACAGCGTTAAAACATACCATCAGAGGTATCCAACAATTGAAAGCATTAAGAAGCATCAGCCTATTTTTTCTCTGTATTATTGATTACTGGGCCGCTTCATCAGTCGTATGAAGAAAGTCGTATAATTATACCCTTACACAGTGTCATCTCTCAATCATTTGACATCATCTGGGAATGGTGTAAACACCTGGTAGGAAGTGCAAAATGTAATGACAAGAATTTGATACTGTCTCTGTGTCTGATCATGTATGCAATGATGGTTTACCCTCCGCTGGTATTCTGAAATTGAAATGTGAAACGTGTTATACATGTTTGTACAAATGATGATATAATGTACAGTCTATATAACATCTGTGTGTTATATTCTTGTAGATGATGATAAGCTTTCACTAAGAAGTGACGTCTTGACATCTTTCTGTTATAAAATGACCTGTCAGATTCAATAATCTTTCATTTTTTCAGAGCAGACGTTTAAAATAGTAAGAAATATTCCAGAAAGATAAAGAATGGAAAAAGCACACCTGGTAACAAGTAGGTATATTAGTTTAATATTCAATTTTGTCAACAACAAATAAGCCCATTTTTTAACACATGCATGCAGATAACAATCATATGAAAACCATGAATATAAAAGTTTACCTCAGTTTCAATTTACTGCATTCCTTGCCTAGAAACCGTCATTAGCATATAGAGAGTGGAAAGTGCTGCAACAGAAAAAAAACCCATATTGATTGAAACGAATTATGTTGAGAATACCTATCCCGAGTAGGTCACACATCTACAATGCTACATCAGCTATTTACAGTATAAGCAATAACGTGGATTCCAAGGCCGTTTATCCCATCGAACATTTAAGGTGTCCTGAAAACAGAAGATTTCATAAATTCAATACCTTGTGCGCAATGTGTCGTTCACCGTACACCGCCTCGGTTTTAAAATGAACACAGATACGAGAAAATCGTCACCGAGACATGGAGTCAGCTGATCACACAGACTATATATAGATTTCATTCGACCAACAAAGTCTTTTCATCGTAAGGTATTTTTGTTATATTAGGAAAATAACGCATATCGTGGACTAGGCAGGTGAATCGTGATAAAGAAACGTATTGGACCGTAAACAACAGAGCATTCTATTATGTATTCTGAATTACTCCCTGTAAACGAAGATGTCTTCAGTGACGTCTTTTCTAAAATATTACCATTATTCTTGACACGAATAAAGTTTTCTATTTTTAAACTATTCAATTTTTTGCCTGTTTTGTCCGTTTTTAATCAAACGTAATTTAATATCACTGTTAGGGCTATGAACAACTTAGAGGTAGGACAAGTATGTATAAGAAATATCATTCTGACATGTGTATTAAATTTGACATTTATGAAGTTTTACGTGATTTGATGATGAATACATATCTAATATACAAATGTGACGTTCGGTATACATATGTTTCTTTAAAATTAAATTTTGATTTTGCCTTATGAAAGTGACGGTGTTGCCAACGAAATGCCACACTTAGACATTCTACTGGCTGTTTAAAGAACTTCTGATGTATCGACATTGCCTGAGTTATGCCTATTTGATATGAAGGATGACTACATTTTGTGTTTCCTAATATCCTCACAAGCCACATCATGCAACTGTCGTTACACATCTGTCTGAGTAATTATATACAACCAAGAAATAATAGCATGATACCATTAAACCATGAAAATTATGAAAAATTATGCCAAAGACACACACACATTAACAATACCTTCGAATTTCGAATTTGATACAGTAAAGTTAAATAATAAATTAAGCTACATTATCCGGCTACTAACAATCATCTCAAACCAGATGCTGTCGCGCATATTTTGTAGCGTTTCCACTGCATAAATTATCACATAATTGTTCATACATAAATATCAATATAAATATATGACCTGCATTAATATTGACTTACAATATTCTAGGAATTATTTCAGCAGGGTCAGTGAAAGTATATTGAATTAACCAGGATGCTAGTGAGAATTCCTAGACACTGTTACAATAGCAGGAATAATGAAACAAGAGAGGCAAATCAATATGTGTCTATTAAATAAGATAGAAACAGCTGTAAGTGAAGAGTAGGTACACTGTTCCTCGGGGGCACAATGATTTGCAGACCTGGCCAAATTTGTTCGGACAAAATAAGACCGCACTCAGAACGATTTTACATTCGGTGGTTCAAATAGTTTAATTATTGTTATCGAGATTGTACGAAAGAGAGACACGTGAAGGACACGTTTCCATACACTAGTGAAGAATAATGAAGTAACCTTAATATATTACAGGTAATTAGGACCTCAAGCTTGAGACCTAGAAGGAGGCAACTGAGAAAAAAAAACAAAAACAAACAAACAAACAAATAAAGCGAAAAACATGCTAATCCCAAAATACAATACATTTCATCAATTTCAAAATCACATATTTTCAAACAAACATCAATAAATTTCATAAATTCCAATATTGCATAACTATAGTAGATATGCATGTTTCGGTTAACCTCGAAAATTGTACAAAAGGGGATAGCACCTACCGATACAAAATTAGATATAAATCATATAGATAGTGAGATGTGACAGGGAAGATTTTCTTTATATATGAAATTTCATTATGCAGATAATTTGACTTGATTTTTGTACTCTCGATATTATGATTAAGTGACATATAGATGCAGTTCATTCCACTTGAAATCTCCTGATTTAAGTATTTTCCTGTTTCCGTCCGTTTTAGTTCAATCCTAACCGTGACATGGACGTGGCTATGTCTATATAATTAACACGGTTAATCCATTAATCATTTTCCACTGGACTATGACCTGAGAAACTATATAAACAGAAATACTTAATCTGGCACCTGCTTAAATAATAATCAAGGACATGACAAAGCGTCCGGAAAAGATGTTTATGGACACGATAGTCACATTTCTTCCAAGTATCAAACAAAGATAGCTACAATCATCACAAAAAGAAATTTTGAAATAGAATTAACTGAGAAAGGGATCTAGGGTTGACCGACCGAACACTCAACAATGTAACATCAATATCACACTTCCTACACAAACCGTAAACAATACAGATTTACATATTGAGATTACAATATCGCCGATACTTACGTTCTTCCTGTTTAAACATATCATTTCATTCATTGGTGTTATCAACTCATTCTTCCCACCAGGAGTGGAATAAAACCTAAATCACGTAATTATTTGAATATCCTTGAGTCTACTTTGTTTTGTTTGACCCGACAAAAAGCACAGTGTATTTGTATTATGAACAGTACAGTGAGTCCATTACTATGTGTATAGACTTTCGTAAGTCTTACGGTTCACATATTGTTCAATGATTTCACATGTGAATTCAAATCAACTCACCACAGTTAATCAGTTTGGTTTACCATCAATATATACATTTAGAGACAGAAGATCAAGCAGTTTCATACGATTTTCTCTGTGTTTTGTCTGTCACCATTTTAACCACCTGCTTAAAGGAACAACAATAAAGCTTACCCCGGTATAAGGCGCCTAGTCATGTTGAAGAATGTGGACACATAATACACAGACACATGATATTGTAACACTTGAATTTAAAACATAACTTTCAACGATCTCGCATCTGAGCAAGCTGTTTCCGAGATCAGCCACAGTTTGTTATACCAAAACACTTACACAAATGATAAATATGTATTAGCTAAATGTAGAATTATCTAAATCCTGAATCATTATATCACTTATAAATATATCAATGTGGGGTGTACTTTCTAATGTTTATGTAAATGTATCACAGAGCCAAATACATTTTATTAAAAATGATGTCATGTTGAGGTGAGACTGAACAACAAACTGAAGACTTAGTAATATTCCAGTAGCATTACCATGTACGCATGGCCACACATACAAAGTTTTACTGTGCATATACAAATCAAAACCACGTGTTACAACTTATCTCGACTGGGTGGTATTACACATTTTAAAATATGAGGAATATAAGTGGTTATAAAAATAGAAACGTGTTATTTTATGACAATATAACGTTACATTAATACTCACCTTATAAAACTGTTTCAGAGAGTAAGTCATTGTCCAAGCGTAATTACAATGCACTGGGGTACTTGTTTGTTGTCATCAATAACAACAATTTAGTCTAGTAACTTATTCACGTTTTTCAAATTTCGAATATGACCATATGTGGAACACTTTCGTCACTGTTCGGTCGCCTGTATATTGTGAAACTATATCATTAAAAAAGTAAACAACAATCACTTCTCAATCACACGACACCTTATCGCGTACACACGTGACAAGTTCGGTATAAGGATTTCGACAAGGGAAGTATATTTTCAATCAAAGTACTGAAAGTACTAAAAGTCAGGCATGCCTTGCAAAAAGTCAATTTATAGGTTACCAAAGGTCACTGATCAAGTAAGTCATCAATATAAATCAATATATTATACTTTTCATCTAAATACCACTTTACAATGTGAAGTTACGTTAAAGGTCAATATATAGGTCACCAATGGCCAGAGGGTCAAATGAGTCAATACCAAACTTTACGATATACTTTTTATTTTCACATCTGATAATAAATATATTATAATGCAGATATCAATATATAGGTCATCAAAAGGTCATAGATGAAATCAATACCGATCAATATTTTATGCTTCTCATTTGCTCATCTTATAATGATGCAAAGTTATGTCAAAGGTCAAGTTAACGTCATGAAATGCCAAACCATCAACATCACTAAGGTATACTTTCCATTTGCAACTCTTATAACAAAGTAAAGTTGTGTTAAACGCCAATATGTAGGTCACCAAAAGATTATAGTTTAAATGAACCTTCTAGATCAATCAATATGGTATATATTCATTTTTACATCTTATGACAATGGAAAGTAACGTCAAAGGTCAATATATAGGTCAACAACAAAGGTTACAAGTCAAATAACTCATCAATTTCACACAATGTTTGATATTGCTGATATTGATTGATTGGTTATGTTGTTCATTTTTTAAGATATCAATATTCAAGTCAAAGGAGATTTTTCCAGTTCAGCTGACAAATTTGTAGGTGTTACAAAACCACTATTTAATGCAAAGCAATTGCAATACAAAGAGTATCAACAGACATAGATACAGATAGGTCATTGTATGCGAAGAGCATTCCTATCTCAGGTGTATAAGTGACACGACCTCAGCACGCTGGCAAACCAGTCTTAATTAAATTTTACCGATGGAAGAAGATGAAAACAGCAAAACCAATGTCCAATTTAATTTTTTTCTGGGAGGGTGATTCATCAACCGCTTCTTATCAAAAGAAAACAAATGCTGTTTCAAAAATAAGAATCTGCCTTTGTCTTCCATAATCTTCCTTGCACTTTCAAACTTTAAAAATGCAAAGTAATACTTAAAAATATCAGGACTACTATGGAACGGTTATAGCATCGACAACTTGTCCCCGACCAGATTCCATCATATGCTTATCATGTGGTTATTCAGAGAGAATAAATCTAATCTTTCTCCTTCAGTATTCCTTTAATGACGTATTATATGGTACCGGTATATCTTAATCTGCCAAAAGAACAAGTAATTTCGATTTTGATGTCAAACAAACTAACATCATCAGTAAATTCATTATGTTGGACACACATTTTGATACCGAGTAAGAATAACACTCACCATAATTAGTTTAGGAAGCGCTATAAAAAATAGGTAGCATAAAATGTGTGAAGTGTGTGCATATATGACATTGCATAAACTGGTGTCGTTGCATTATAAATTATACTGTATAAAGAATATAACGAGTCAATGGTAGATAACATTAAAGCATAATACTTCATCTCGGGCAACGCGTATTTGACATTTGTATAAAATGACTTAATCCGGTACCTAACAATACTACCCAAAACACACATTAACGGTTTAAAGAGACTGGAGTATGTAATTCTAATCCTTCCGCACTGCCCTTGTCAAACGCCTGTGTGTTGACCTAAGACTGACTGCATTGTAAAAGTAAAACCAGTGAAGCAATACAGCTACACAAATCTCGTCACAGCAGGGGCGGACGTTAAGACGATTTTGTTACGGCGAGTCGTCTGTAATGTTTACACATATTTATACATTTCATGTATTTCATTATATTCCGTAAGTAACGACATGAAATTTCTTTTGATATCAAACAAAATCTACTAATACCACCTTTATCTTAAACATGTATTTTATAACAATTTTCATTTCTCACTTTTCTCATTTGAAGAGGAAAACTGTTCTTGCTTATTTCATCATATCATAATAAAATACTTTTTAAATTCCTCATCTCCGAGATGGTATGCATGTGCTATTTATATACGAATATCACATTTATTTTCCATGGCAATGTCACAATTTCACAAATACGAGTAAATATATTATGTCCGCCTTTCTGCAGGCAGTTTTCATCTCCATATATATGTTAGCACCTTCTCGAACCTTCCATGGTTTAAATCCCTGTACAATGTCCCTCTAGTCCATATCAATTCCAAATCAATATGCAGTTTCACAGCTTTACCATTCAAAGTATTCATTGTATGTTTATATTGCATTCAAAGTATCGCTTTAATTTACATTTAATCCTATTGTAATTGATTAGTTGACTATTTAAAATGGTATAGGTAGGCGACCTTTATAGTCAAGTCATGCTCTACTTAGTAAGACACAAGATATTCTCAATTCTGTGCTGATGACAAGTTTATCCAGTGGTACATACATTTTTTGCATGTCCTTCGAGATAATGTATCACTTACTTGGTGTATTTTCTCTGGAGACGAAGTGTCGTGATGACCTTGGAATGTGTCATTTTGATAAAACGACACTGCAACAACTGAAGTCAAGCATGAAATATAATAATTACTAGTAATTAATGGATTAATGCATTATCAGCTGCATATCCCATCCCTTCATGATGCATTCACAAGTCAAACTTATCTCAGTTACCCAACTTTTATATTAATACGCTCAAAAAAGATGGCCACTGTTTCTATGATTTGAATTTTGTTTCTCTAAACAGGAAAACAAATTCTTCGTGCAAATAAATTCGAATAAATAAACATTAGAAAGTTTTTTTATTGACTCCATATATACTAGTCACATTCCATACCTATAGATGGGTGGATATCTACAGTACCAAATATTACACAGCTCATGATAATGCTGCGATATGAGAGCTCGAGACATAACAAGTAGAAGCGTATAGATGAAATTATCCAGTTGCTGTAACACTAGTTATGTGATATACTTTGAACTGTCTTAGAAAAAAATATTGATATAGAACAATAGTAGAGCTTTTTTTTAAAAAGTTATTAATATCTCAAACGTTTGTCTCATTCATGGAATAGCAATTTGTCTTTAAGATTTATATCCCTTCGAAATTTCTTTTTCGCAAACAAGAATTTCACTTGAAGGTATTTCAAAGACACTTTATTATACTTTATCTTAAACACATGTTGTTGTTTACTAACATTCGGAACATTTATCATTGGTCATGAAGGGCGTATAGTGATCAAATAGGGCAATTCCAATTCAACAAAATATTGAAATATAATTTCTCATTGTGAGGTTTTACATTTATAAACATGACATGAATTTCGGAATATGTTTCATCGCTATTTTCTATGGCGACCACCTGTATCATACCCGTGACCGTTTGCTGCAGCACATGTTTATCCATTGTTGAAATAATTGATTTACTCATACATGTACCGTTATCTCCAATCACGGTTCTGAAGCTCCAAATGCCTTAACTACAAAAGGGAGTTTGAACCCATGCCAATTTGTAACATAAACTCGTAGATAAAACAGCTCTATCTGCTGATAGATTTCTAACTAATCGATTTCAGTCTGACAGAAACACAGCAGCCTTTTATAAGACAAAGTTTACGATAATCAGTATAGCCAATACCACACAGGTGAAGGCCAAATCGATGGCCGTAGTATACAAGTGTCGTAATGTTATAGTACCAAGTGGCAATTACGCTGTTTAACCTAAATAACTTCTCCCCAATTATTCTTCAAAGTGCAAGTGTACACATGTACAGGATTGTTCACATTGTCGATATGTTCTTACCGATGGTATGTCAATTAATTAAATACAGTAAAGAGCACTTTTACATATTTGCAAATACAAGCCGATTTCCTATCATTACCGTTATCGCAATTTCTCGTTAACGAAATAACGACAATACGCACACGATCATCACATGGCTTTTCCGACACCACTATATTTCTGAATTTATTCTACCTCAGTTCTTGTCCTTTTCCTTTCGACCTCAAATTAAGATAAGATTAATTTGATTGACAAAATGAAAACATAATACACAGTATAACCAGCTTTTACGTGTGATGAAAGTTAAAGAAAAAGTACATATGGAAAACGTCTTCTTTGACGAACAACTCATGAAGAGTAGATAAACAAACAAAACACCGCTAGCATAGTATTATGTTTTAATAATTCTTTGCTGTTATGACCAACATCCGGTGTGGTCCTCTGCTTTAGCAGTTTTAGAACCACAACCATCATACAGTCACACGGCGTCTGAATGAATCACATAAATGCAAACACATTTCCCTGTGACGTCCCCCGAGGTATTTAAAAGTACAAAATAGCTCTTTGGTTAATTGGTGATAAAGTCAAACCTGCTATTCAAGCAGTATTGCAGCTGAAACAGACACACAAGTATACGTATCACAGTCACATGGTTTATACCTATTGCTGATACGGTTACTTCGTCTTTCGTACATAACTTCACCCCAAATAAGATCACACACCATATTATATACACACTGTCACACAAGAAATGATTCGCATCATATACAGTCGTATCATACTCATCGAACATATGATACGTTCACAGCACTGAAGACCAGAACGCCTATGAGATCAAAATGAGCTGGAGAAGCTGAATAAGACGACTTGCTTTGATTGTATCTTTCTCATTAATGTACACACGCAACGGGACTATTAATTGTCACATAACACTCAATTAAATATGTGCGATACCGTTACTGATCGCTGGAGACAAAATTGTTTCTGTTATAATCGTACCTATATATCTGATAATATTACTAATCGTAACATAATTTATATTAAACATTTTTTACGATGGAAACTATAGAAATATATGCAAAATTGTAAACATTGAATCAATGCCTTTTTAAAACGAAAATTATTTCATCAATCAATCCATGTCAAAATAAGGAGCATAAATATATATATCATAAAAACATTCTCAATATTTATTTAGCTGAAGGTTTTCATGATAAAGAGTATGTGATGGACAGGCTGAACAATGGTGACCACAAAACGCACTCTTTTTAGGTGTGTCCCAGCACCTAACATAATGTAAACTCTGTCTGGTATGACAAGAGATGTAATAACATTGTCTAGCACAACAAAATATCACAATGATGATGTTAACAAGTTCAAACGATAAAATAAACTTTTCTTGATAGATAAACACAACAATGCCCTATTACACAAAAACAATATTTAAATAAAACAATATTTCCTATGGTTCACGAAACGATAACCACAGCAAAACATTTTTAAAGCATTATTACGTTTATATGTAATGTACAAAATCTAATGAGATGTTCTCAAAATATTACGATGAAATAAAACGGGACGTGATGCGACGCGACTGGATGGGACCAGAGGGAACAGACGGACACAAGAAACGCTATTTGCCTTCCCGTAAAATGTTCCCACAAAGAAAAGAATGCTGTTAATGTTTCTTCGCATACTACAAATATTTGAAAATACAATTTTTCACAACTTTATGAATACAGGGTTTACAGCAGTTAGCATAACAACAACTCTCATTCACACGCATTTACACCATTATATATTACTAGATATACCTGAAGGGGACATTCACAGGGATTATTAACCTCAGCATCCCGTTACCTTGGGGTCAAGACCTGAACTCTTGGTGATATGGAGCTTGACCAACTCTTCTGCCATTGTAGGGTGTATACCTATCGAGCTAGACAACTGTCGCCAGGTCACACCACATCTGTCGGAAAAGCAGAACATCTGTGTCAATCAACTTACGGTAAATAACTTTAACTTTTTATACATACTGCGCGATCGTTTGGAAATGATCTAAAGCAAGAAATTCACAACATAGAAAATAAAGGGCATTCACTGTGAAATCTGGATAAAAAAGTAAAGGCAATACTTGACATTGTTAATGATGCCATAGTTTCAATTAAAGCATAACAATTAGGTATGGTGTTGTAAGTAATAATTTTTACTTGTCATACAGTATAGCTAACAACTCAATCGACGATAGAACATGAATTGCAGTCGACGCGTGATAAATATCAGTTGCTCTAGGTTTTAATACCGTACATCTTCAAATTTTACAATTTCATTGATACTGTTACGGTCTAGACACAAGTTCTAATGATGTACAAGGAAACGATAGTCTCAAAACAAACATCTCAATCACATTCATATTTTCAAACAGAGAGTGCGGAAGTGTATCGCGAGGATTACCGCATTAGTTTCCCTAACGTTTGATAGGAAATGCAACAGCGTTTGAAGGTAAATCCCACTACCATCACAGACGATAACAGCAGGAATGCTATGACGACTAGTCCATGATAAAACCGATTACATATTACATATGCGCAGAGTAGTCAATGATACAATTGATAACAAAAATAAATCTATAAATCTTTTCAAATAATACTATTTTGATATCTATATATAGTAATAAATGATACAACAGACAACAAGTACACAAATGTCGTAAACATTAGATACTACTATAGACTTTAAAATATTTAATCTTTACAACGAGATCTAGAGCTTTACAGCTAAAACCAGTAGTATAGATGTACAATAATCATAGTTTAAATAGAACACTAATATCGTAACATTTAATTCAACAATGCAGTCGCGCTTTAAACAAAATTAAGAACAGTTACCGTTTTCTCATCTCAACTGTTTACGATAAGCTACCATCAACGGACATTTATATTTACTGTATACTGCATTATAAATCAAAAGGTCAGATCAATTCCACTGAAAGGGGATATCTGATGTGGAAAAAGAGTTTAACAATGATGTCCCGTGTTATTCCATGAGGATACTAAGCAAGCTGTCGAGAAGATTTTAAGTTGGTATTGTATGTATACCATTGATGTTTCGTTTTTCATTGTTATTGGCGAATTAAAACATCGGCTTCAACCACAAAGCGACAATGGCTTTACCTCATATAACACCCAATATTTCGCTGTAATGCGAGTTCAACGAAGTGTCTTCCAGCTTACACTTAAAAACAATTTTTCACAAGTTATCTTGGCATTTTGTTTACAACTCTGAAGGTAAATGACATTTTACCTTTTATCAACGGTTTTATGACTAGTTTTCAAACAAATACACCCGTACCTTACCTTGGCTAGATAAAATATACAATAGATCTCAAGTCGCTGTCAAGTATTAATACCATAGTTCAAATATATGGTCACGTTAAATTACTTTGAAGCTGATTAAGCCCGAAGACAAATAAAATACCATTGATGTAAGTGGTATTATCTAAATAAGGTTTCTGTGGCAGTTTCTTAACAGGAAAGCGAAAGAAGCGCTGTTAAAAGAAGGCAAGATATCACTTTCGTTTAGCATCCATTTAGAATATTTTCTAATATATCATGTTGCAACTGGAATATTAAAATGCATAATGGTACGGCTGTTACATGTACATAATCCGTTTAACCTCCCGTTGTGGTCAACAATATATAAGATACCAGATAGTGATAATAATGAGCAATTCGTTACGTTCAGTTTTTTCACGAAGAATTTTCACATCAAAATCTTGGTAAAGCAGTAGTGGCACAAGGTTTGCATTGGGGTATTTTATAAATGAAATCTTTTCCTAAATGTTAATGACATTCATGAAAATAACTTTTATTTCTATTCTTCAAACGTCTATGATGATATCATTAAGGCAAACGCTGTGGCACTTATCAGATCTGGAAGGGTCAGGGAGGGAATGAAAGCGCAAAGTACAAATGTACAAATGTATAAGTAACGTGCTTTGAAAACGCGACAGAGATTATCCGTGATTACACCAATACCAACAGCTCGGGAAGGTGAATATTTCAATATTTCGCTGACCATTTACGCAATCGTATCCTGAGTAAGTCCGAAGAAAAAGAAAATCACTTGACCCCTTTGAGCATTAGAAAAAAAGAAACGCTTCGAAGTAGAATTAGAAAGGAACTCTGGAAATATATGAGCGATCACAGATCACAACTCAGAGACAACCGGTTTAATTAAGAACCGGCCGCCGGCCAATTTGACCGCTTCAAATGTTGTTTTGATGTTTTTGCTCTAATGGTAAGGATGTGTATATAATTTAACATCGCGTTATCAAATATGTCTTATACAAGGCACAAACTTAATTGTAATGAAGTCTCACAAAGAAACAACAAAATCGTAGAAATAAAATTGCAATATTACATCTGAAGTTAAAATCAATATGAGTAAAGCAATAATAACACAATATAATACGTTAAAGGTTTCTGAAGGAGAAGTGATGGAATGCGATTTTAAATATTACTTACCATAAAGGACAGTAAAACATCATTGGTCATATATCAAAATCAATCTCTACCAGTTCATTTAATGTACATACCCCATTGCAACAGAGAATCCTTGGATGATCTCTCCTGCATTTGGCCCAGTAAGATGAATGCCTAATACCCTACCATCGTCCCCCTTCTGGCATATTACCTTGACAAACAAAACATTAACCAAATTGAATCAATATTTAGTGTCCATCTTCCATATCACACCATTATTAACGAAACGCAAAAACAGCAGATACTAACACTTGCATTAAAATTTTTGTTCAACAATGGCCTGATGAGCTAATTATCAAACAATATTTACCATTGCTTAAGTAGCATTATCAAAACAGACAAATTTGGACACACCTTTTTGCTCTGTTAAGTTTTAGTGGAAAAAACAAATAAAAATGTGTTTTATGAGTTCCTTCACACTAGGAATTACAACTAAATAGACAAGTCACAAAATTTAATTTCTATCAAACAAAGGCAGAAGGCAACTGAATACAACAAGTTTATAATGTTTGGAAAAGAGAAAGTGTCTTTTACACTTTAATTATACAAAGTACAGTATACTCTATTCCCGACTGCATCACATACTAAGCAATGAAAATGTGAAAGGATTACAAGCACCAAATATATTTTACAAAACATTCTAATGTTACATCACGCTGCATGATTAGACTTACTTTTATGTAACACTGTGAAGCATCCCGTCCTGGTATGACATATTCTAAAGGTACGTAGAAAGCATGATATACCTACAGTAGAAAACAGGCATATTGTGGTGGTAAACTACGTTAGGCATTGTATACTGTATCATTATACACTTCTATGGACCATGTTTTTGTTTCCCTCATGGGTCTTTTACATATGAAGGTTTCAAAACATACTTCTCCTAACATCAATGATGAGTACTGTGTAACAGATTAGGTACCTGTATTACTTGTATGTTGAATGAAATTAATTCAAACACAACGTTTATCGTTCGGATTAGACGCCATAGGATAAGTAATACCTTTATCTCATTTTCATTTCTGTATTACTTTATAAATGTGATATTCTTGAAATGTCTTGAACTGTACCATTCTGGGAAAAAATGTAAATTGTCATGCAACTTTGATGCTGAATGGAATCTTCACGAAAAGACGTGAGTGTAGATTTTGATCTTAAGATCTTTCAAAACAAATATAGATTATAAAACCTCTTACCTCTATATTACTCTCTCCATGTGTTGCTAGAGCTGTCTCCTCAGATAAACCCACAACACCGTACTCCAACGGAGTAAAAACTGTGGTGGGCACCTACCATAAGAATGACATCTTTATCTTTGGCTGTGTTATATCATTATGTGAATGTATTTAGATATCACTGACTATATTTTAATTTATCTCCTGAATACTAATCATCTTGATTGGCTGCAAATTTTCGGTATGCTCAACTCATATTTTTGTAATTTTTAATACAAATGACAACAGTATTTTGTAGGGGTACCCGATATGACCGAAGATTTATTTTGAACATTTCCTGCTGCAAGTAAGTATTAGCTTCCATTGCTCTAACTGTGTTTACCTTATGTGTTTTCTATAATCAAATTTCGAGAAGCAATTATAGAAAAAAATATGGCCTGCTAAAAGCTTACTACTGCCTAAAGATTCTTTTCTATTAAACTTTTCTATACAATCGGAGAAAAATTATTACCTGGTCATAATTCATCTGTACCTGGGCCCCATCAAAAAGGCGATGTGCTAAAAGCTTGCCTGCTTTGATGGCTACAGGCGTTAGTTCAGGTCTCGCCTGTATCAAACAGTTGTACATAGAGTATTAACAAAATTAATTGACTATCATCGTCATATAGATGTACACAGTAAAATTAACACTATCAAAACCAATATACATTTTTTCTGTAAATTTGCATCTACCAGTTCTTGTATCAGTAGATAGATGCAGACATCATTAAAACCAAACATTCATAATGATATACATATTCCTGGTAATCACATTGTAGCCAATATCATGCTCTATCCATTAACAACGCACAGAGGTTCATATTTATTAACAATTCTAACACTTAAATTATCGAATCCTTAAGTAAAATCACTTTAAAATTATAAAAATCTTTGTGAATCTAATAAATCCAACAAACCTTTATGCATCTATTTCTTACTCTATGTGTAGGAATTTGCAATTAGCCTGCCATATTAAACAAAAATTTCCCTGACAACTCTTATTATTATACCATAATTAACCTTAAATCTCCCTTACTTGTCCAATGATTATACCATAATTACCCTTAAATCTTCTTAACTGTCCCATTGTTGTACAATGGTTAACTAAAAATCTTCCTTGCGTGTCCCTTTATTAAACCATCATTTACCTTAAATCTCCCTTACCTGTCCCATTTTCATACCATATTCAACCTAAAATTTCCCTTTCGTGGCCCTTTATTAAACCATCATTTACCTTAAATCTCCTTTACTTGTCCAATTTTTATACCATATTCAACCTAAAATCTCCCTTTCATGGCCCTTTATTAAACCATCATTTACCTTAAATCTCCTTTACTTGTCCCATTTTTATACCATATTCAACCTAAAATTTCCCTTTCGTGGGCCTTTATCAAACCATCATTTACCTTAAATCTCCTTTACCTGTCCCATTTTCATACCATATTCAACCTAAAATTTCCCTTTCGTGGGCCTTTATCTCCCTTTCGTGGGCCTTTATCAAGTCCTTAATATCCTATATCACATTTAATAAAATTTCAATTTCGTGGGCCTTTATCAAACCATCACATGTCCTGGTATTATTACTTAATAAATATTCATGGTTAAAACACATGAGCAATTACAATTAATATAACTTTCTGTGCCTATAAATTTAACCTAAAAATCTCCCTAACAAGTCCCAATATTATATCACATTTAATTTAAAGTAGCACTTCATGGAAAACACATATACAATTAATATAACTTTCTGTGCGTATAAAGAATACATTGTAGCACTTCAGGACAGGATAACATGCCTTTCAAAGAGTAAATTGAAAAGTTCTTCTTTAGGTGTGCTATTAAGAAAAACTAATCTTTCAAATGGAGCAAGGTTTAAAGTAAACTGTTTTTTTATATTATTTTTAACAAATTCAAACATGGATTTTAAAAGTTCACCATTCAAATACCTCCAATATATCTTAAAGGGATACTTCCATGTCTGTAACAGCATAATGCTTATCTTTTCATAATGGATACCACTTTGTAGTAATAGGATTTGAAGATAAAACAGGTATGTAAATATGCAGTGAAGCAGAAAAATTGTGTGCGTCATTACTTTGGCAAATAAAAAAAGGGGTGTCATGTACTGTCTGTTAGGATTGTAAACCAAAGCAGTTTAAGTAAATATAATCAGAAATGCTAAAGCAAATATCACCAGTCTCATATTTAACTGCAAACATTATAAGTTATTCAAGAAGGGTTTATTTACATGTAAAACATCTCCAATTGCATATATATGAGATACAGAGCTCCTTTCTTGGTCCCCTTCATGACCTCCAATGACCTTTCCGACATCATCCATGCTAACACCAATATCAGGTAAATTTAGCTTCCCTGTTACTGAGTATCTCCCTGTAATTAGAAGTAAGTAGAAACTTAGATTCTTTACCTATAAAACCCACTACTGAGTATCTCCTTGTAGCTAGAGGTCAGAAGTATCCCTAATGTATTTATTCAATATATCTTTAACACGTCCGATTGTAAACATTTTTCCTTTGTCTCTACAAAACGAACCATACAATGCATTATCATCTAACAAATGTATTACTGGTAACCTCTTTGTTCCACAAATCTTTCTATCTCTCCTGAGAAACTGAAACAAGTATTATTAGCATACCACACTCAACCTAAAATCTTGGTTAATGTGTTCTATTTTTACACCATATTTAACCTAAAATCACCATAAGGTATCCTATTTTTACACCAAATTTAACCTAATATCTCCGTTAACGTGTCCTTTTTTACACCATATTTAACCTAAAATCACCATAACGTGTCCTATTTTTACACCATATTTAACCTAAAATCCCCAAACTTGTCCCATTGATAAACCATATTCAGCTAAAATCTACGTGACATGTCTGATTATTACACCATATTAAACCTAAATTATCCTTCGTGTGTTCCATTATTATACCATGTTTAAAATTTATCATACCATATTTCATCTAAAATACCTCATGGTTTGTCATTATCATACCACATTTAACCTTTTTAACCTGGTATTTCTTCAAGTATCTCTGTGTGCAAATCTGAATTTAGTTAATAGTTTGCCGCTGTTTCCTTAATGATTTGTTTGATTGTTTGTATTTTCTCATCTCCATTTACCAGTTAATAGCTCTAATGACCTTTTATGTGTTGACGGGCCATTAAGAATAACATGATAACAAACTCTTGTCTCCATTAAACCCCATCTATAATGAGAATCTCCCTAATGATTCCCCACACTGTGTCATATTTAAACTACTAGTGACACCTCCCAAAAGAAAACCATTTTTAATCATGTTATCACAACATGACTACACTTTATTTAACTTCAAAGTGAATTTGATTAAATATATCCCAAATGTAGCATCTGAGATCAGTCAGGACAGTATTAAGCTACAGTACTTACACTGATGATGTTATAAATTGGCTTTCATACTAAGTGTAAAAATAAACTAAAATATTCCAATTTATAGCAGTATCACGTGACCATAAAGCATTCAAATAAACAAACTTCTTACATATAATATATTTAAATCCCGTCTATAAAATATTGATCCCAATATCTCTTGTCTTTGTTCCAGGATAGTACAGTATCCAATATAACACATCTGCCCCTAATCATACCGTATTTGATATATTAAATCTTCCCCTCCACATAAAGGTAACTATATTGTAAGATTTATCCAATCTCCAGTATGTAAATGCTTTACTGTATAAAAATTTTCATCTGAACTTCCTAGATTGATAGATTAATCAGTACTACATACCCACAGCCATGAGAACGGTATCAAATGCCTCCTTCTCTTCATTGCCATTTCTATCCTGATAGCTTACGTCCAATTTTCCTTCTGCATTTTTCACAACCCTCAATGGTTTACATTCCTTTAGAAATCTTGTTCCATTGTTTTCCATATGATCTGTCACTAAATTTGCCATTTGCTGCGAAATAAAGACAAGTAAACAAAATTAGTATATGTGTAAATGTGTCATTTTGATGCAAATATAAGGCTGATTTTGACAGGGGTAAAAAATAAGCATAGGACAAAATCGCCCGCAAGAAATTTGATATCAAAATTTAGAATTTAATAAGACTTGATTTCATCTAGCAACTCTTTGTTCTAGTCTGCCCTCCCAAGGGATACTAACATGACTGTCAACAAATAAGACAGTTATGATTTACTGGTGTGCCCTCTTTACTGTGTGATAATATTTTTGGCAGCATATTCTTCATATACCCAGTATTTATCATTTTGTTTGATTGTCAGAGAACAATATCCTACGCATATTCTTTCACATCCCACCATGTGTATTTAATATGAAGTATTACTACCTGAGATCATTCTGCTGGGATTTAATCCCCTCCTACCTCCACCCCACCCCTATCGTCCCAACATCTGCATGCACGGCTTGAGTGCTAATAGTTTAGCTTGTATAAAGGGTGAGTAGAAATTTTTAGGGTGAGTTCAATATTTCAAAATATGCCTACCTGATCAAACATCCTGAGGCAAATAGATCTGACCATGACAGTTGTGTCAAATCCAAGACCAGAGAGGAAACCAGCAGACTCCAAGGCAATGTCTGATTGTTGTCAAGGATTACTACACTATGCAAATCTAGATACTGTCAGCAAACATCAACTTCTGCATTTTAACCAAGATTGTATTAGATTTCAGAAATTCAGAAGAAATCATTCTCTGCAAAGAGATGTGCAGAAAGCATTCTATACTGTTAAGTTGAGTTTGATGGTTTTGAAATCATAGCCCAGAAAAAGCCCTCAGACTGACAGCACACACTGATACTCTATACAGGAGTCAGAATAAAGAAGAATGATAATGTCATGACATCCAGGTAAGTTCCCTTGTCCTTTGTGCTGATACTCTATAAATTTATAAAGGATACAACTTCCACCTACAACTAACCTGAAATAAAAAAGGAAGATTAGTTGCAACAAAACTTTCCGTAAACTTCCAGGTAGTAAAATCCGTGATATTTATGATTAATGTGCAATCTTACATCTCCAAAAATTTCTCATTTAAAAATACAGAATAATACTGATAAATATGTAAAGTGGTAACAGGATAAATCCTAGTCAAATCAATCTGTATCAAAATCCTCTAACACTGACTGAATTGTTCACAATGAAATTTGCCTAGGACTGAGTGAGTTGTTCAATACAAAAACCCGTTAAGACTGAGTAGATTGTTTGACATAAAACTCCTCTGAGATTGCCTAATTTGTTCTTTATATTTGTGAAATCAATATATCTAATCAAAACGCCCTAAATCTGGTCTGTGGTAATGGTCAGTGTTGACATCCTATTTATACATTTCAGATGATGAGTCAAATATGTTGCAAGAGTATCAAAGGGTAAAATTCAGAACAGAGAGTCATCTCATATAATGAAGACTAAATACAATATCATTTCATTAAAAGTTTAAATTTGAGTTGATGAAAAAAAATAAAAGCATTACGTTTTTCCGGGAGGTTTCTTCATCCAAAATATATCATCACTCGAAATGGCATGATCTGATACTCCTGGGATCTGTAACAACAAAGGAGAGAGAGTAAGCACTACATTGCACAAACTTAGACTGAAATTGTTACAAACCTACAAGAGTTACCTCCCTTATAAAAACATTGCAGAAATAAAGAAGGAAATACTGACTTATCAGTGTTCATTTGTGTATACACATTTACAGAAATGTGTTGGATCATTTTCTAGTAAATATCTTGTGCAGATTTGTCTGGCTAACTTATGTTGTATTTATAGCTCTGCGTGACTTTTGCTGTCTCAAGTAAGGTCAGAATGATTTACTTTTGAAGATACACTTGCAGGTCTAAGTTACTAACTTTTGTAGGTAGGATATAGGCTTTTAATACTTGCTTTTGTAGGTAGGATATAGGTCTATGTTACTTACTTCTGTAGGGAGGATATAGGTCTATGTTACTTACTTCTGTAGGTAGGATATAGGTCTATGTTACTTACTTCTGTAGGTAGGATATAGGTCTATGTTACTTACTTCTGTAGGTAGGATATAGGTCTATGTTACTTACTTCTGTAGGCAGGATACAGGTCTTTGATACTTACTTCTGTAGGTAGGATATAGGTCTATGTTACTTACTTCTGTAGGTAGGATATAGGTCTATGTTACTTACTTCTGTAGGTAGGATATAGGTCTATGTTACTTACTTCTGTAGGTAGGATATAGGTCTATGTTACTTACTTCTGTAGGTAGGATATAGGTCTATGTTACTTACTTCTGTAGGTAGGATATAAGTCTATGTTACTTACTTCTGTAGGTAGGATATAGGTCTAAGTTACTTACTTCTGTAGGTAGGATATACGTCTATGTTACTTACTTCTGTAGGCAGGATACAGGTCTTTGATACTTACTTCTGTAGTTAGGATATAGGTCTAAGTTACTTACTTCTGTAGGTAGGATATAAGTCTATGTTACTTACTTCTGTAGGCAGGATACAGGTCTATGTTACTTACTTCTGTAGGTAGGATACAGGTCTATGTTACTTACTTCTGTAGGTAGGATATAGGTCAAGGTTACTTACTTCTGTAGGTAGGATACAGGTCTATGTTACTTACTTCTGTAGGTAGGATATAGGTCTATGTTACTTACTTCTGTAGGTAGGATACAGGTCTATGTTACTTACTTCTGTAGGCAGGATACAGGTCTTTGATACTTACTTCTGTAGGTAGGATATTGGTATAAAATACTTACTTCTGTCGGCAGGATTGGTCGGCCTCCAACAGCTATAACAGCATGCTTTGTTGAGAGTAATCTCTGAAACAAATTTTATTGTACCAATTCTTTTTACCATGATTGTTAATCCAGACATGAAAATCTTATCTTCAAAATAGAAATACATTCAACAAAAATGATAATTTGAATACTGATAATTATTTAAATAGTTCAGAAAATAATACTTTTAAAAGTATCTCTTTTTCTACCATTATGCGTTTGTTACCTGTTGTATAATATTCTTGATCAAGGTTACTCAATTCCAACAAAAATACAGTATATATGTACCTCTTGACCTTTGGAGTCTATGGCCCTGATTGTGTGTTGGTCAGCAAAAGATCCAAGGGCATTCAAGTACTCAACATTCCTAAGCAGAAAAAAATACCGAAGTAATTAGAAAAGCAATACAATTTTCCTGATTAAATCTATTAATCTTGAAGGATGGATTACAAAGCTTTGGCTTACTGTCCCAAATTCACTGAGTAAAGTAAGATAACAGACAATTCTGATATAATTTCTACTAAGTCTAAAGGTTGGATACCAGTATATATTTTTCCCTGAATCTCAAACTTAACTTTCTCATAAGACGAATAAATATACCTGCACTTTTTTGAACTGTCCAAGACCTTGGATGAGAATCTATAAATAGATGAATATAGAAACTTGACCTTTCCATGACTTTTGATAAAATTCTATAATGAATTTAATATAGATACATTTCTTTGATCTGTCCATAACCTTTGTGACATTCAACAGCTGACTTCATAACTCAGAAAATCTTACTTGTCTTTTAGCTGCACTCTATGACCCCAGTTTAATGACTTAATGTAACTCTGAACAGCTCCACACATCTTTTCCCTGTCAAAAAAGCAGCATATTTAAAACTGGTGATTTGTTTTCATTCCAAAAAATATCCTATGAACAACAAAACTTTAATGTTTTATATCAAAGCAAATAGATAATATGATTTTCAATTGAAAACTTAAATTATATAATTGAATTATGATCTATGCATCAAAGAAACAATAAATATTTCTGATGATAAATATATTAAATATTTATGTACATAATTCAAAAGGCTTACTCCACTATATGGAGACCCTACCTCACTATCACAACACTGCAGCGATCAAACTTCTGGTCATACTATAGTGTAGTCCATAAAAATCAAGGATGTTTTAAAGGGTCAAGTAAAAAGGATATCATTTCATTGTTGTCAAATATGTATCAAATTTAGATAACATTCTTTGTTTGGTATAAAGATTATTTTAATCAATTCAACTTTTAAATATGAATTTTGATTTTTTGTTTTAAATCTGAAAAGTCATATTAAGTATCAGCTGATTTCAGTAATATATTTCAGTCTGACATTACCAGGTGAGTTGGTAACACTGTACACGGTTAGAAAGCAGAATTTTAAGTTGAAAACTGGGATTGTACCAGGTACACTTGTATTTTGGGAATTGGACTATGTACTAAAATGGGACAATATATCACTATTTTACTTTAAATTGGGAAAATACATACCTAGCATGAGTAATATGTCTTTTATATTGAAATGGCAAAATATCAAAAAACTCAATAAAAGCAATCAATCTTTTCAGTTATAATTTTTTCACAATCAACCAGCACAGGCCTATTAGGCAGTAAACTGCCATTCCAGCCCAAAAGTTTTTACCATCAGATTATTGCCAATGTACATTATTTGAAAAAACCAACAAAACCAATATGTCAGTTATACACAGCACATGCAGGTGAAAATTTACCAGTCATTGTTGATGGAATCTGGGACATCCCAGCCATATGACTTCCCATCTCGGATCAAGTTCCCAAGCAGTGATGCCTGGTGCATCAGTTTTTTGGGGATACATCCCACATTGACACAAGTACCACCAAGGCCCCACTTGGTTCCTGTGAGATAGATTCAATACACACATAGCGTTTCATTGCTTTCTTACAAACTTCATAGAAATATGAAAAAAGTTTTGGAAAAATAAATTAATATAGAGTTGTCAGAAACTATGGTAATCACACATGTTTTAGAATGGATAAACTTAAATATTAAGATACTGACACAGAAAATATTTTAACAGAGATTATATTTTCCTTATAAAACAAAGAAACAAGAGTACTATATATTTTTATGATGTACATGTAGTTATTTGAAATTTTGAAAAATAGACCTTTTTAATTTAGCATATTCAAATTATTTTGAGAACATAACACAATGTTATCACTTTTCATTTCTCAAGCATTTTTATGTGTTTACACATATCAACTTATCACCCATCACAGGCAGTACTGGTGATGGTTTAAAAACATTAAACTGACAAATGGCGATAGTATAACAATATTACAAATTCTCAAACATAAAATTAAACTTAAATATGAATAAAAGAAATAGAAACATCCTTTTGTTTGTTGATTATTAATAACTAATTAAATAAGAATGACAATACATTATATATCTATTATATAAAACACTAAACAATAACACAAATATAAATGTAAACAAAAGTATGATATGTTTCATGTCACTTACTTTCCTCATATCTAGCGGACCAATGAGGATCTTTTTCTAAATCAAAACACAAGCATTAAGTGACTGTCTACCATGAGAATTGTACAGTAAACTATATATATATATATATTTATCTATATAGACAATAAAATAAAATGAGTCCAGTTAACAGTTGCAGTGAAGTTCCTTTTAACACAATGTGGTGGACTAATACACATACTAGTGTCTCTGTAATCTTCTTGTAATAAAAATATATCGTCCATGTGTTAGATTCTCTTACATATATTTTCAAATCAAATGTATGATTTCACATAGGACTTAATGAAGCTTAGTTGATAAATTTTAAATTGAAATCCTTATCTGTGTAATTAAAAAGAAATTGTTTGTTTATATTGGAATATAATTTGAATATACTTCAGTGAGAGATATCTAATTCTAAATCAATGTAACACTAGTGATACATACCACGTGGCGATGGATTTACATAATCGAGGACGGCCACTTTTTTTCCTAATTGTGCGGCTAAAAAACCAAGATCAGTGAACCATTAATTTTGAAAAAATGGTCCAGTCATACTGAAATATCCCTGAATATATATTGTTCTTAAGGTTCTGATGCAAAAAAAAGATATATAGGAATGGCTGCTTTAATTATTATTTTCCCATTTCATGTACAGACACTTCTGTATTTCTATAATTTTCATTATGAATTTTTATAGAAATTAATGCATTATATAAATTAAATCATAATGCAATTATGAGAATTCAAACCCAAACCTTACAAAATCAAAACAATTCTGACAACTCTTTCAACACAGTAGCTTTAAGATCCACATGACATATGTTTATTTAAGAACATTTGTAAAGTACTGTATCTAAAATTTGAATAGTAAATTTACCTTCTTTGGAACAAGCCAGTCCTCCAGAGCCACCTCCAATCACTACAAGATCATACTCATGCTCCTGGCTTGATTCTGAAATTAAAAAATTTTAAAATTTATAAATATATACTGAATTACAGTCAATGCACTTCTTTCAAAACATGTGAAATTAGGTGCCCAGTAACACATCAGTACTATAAGCATGCTTCATTGGCTAAAGTAAAAAGCAGTGGATGTGACATGTCAGTGGAATTTTGTCTTGGTCTATCCCAGCAAAGCTTAGGATTATGGCGTTGATTCTGCATTGCAAAATGATAAACATAAAACCAAACAAAAAATGGGAAGTAAACGTACAGGTTTGTAGGTCATATGTAAAACCAGCAACTTAAATGCTGTCTTGTCACATGGATGGTAAAAGGATGGAAACGCTAGACCTAGGAATGTACATTCAATAATGATCAGGACAAATATGCTGTTATATATCTTCACAGGTGTATAGTTTGTCTGCTAATGCATCCACTTTGTAAAATATCTTGAAAGATGAAGCCAGTTCACATACAGGGGCTGTGAAAACACAGTCAATTAAGTACCAGACTTTGTATTTTGTGTAGTGTCTATACCTTACATGTTAATGTAATATAGTGCATATATCATCTGTTTGATGTAAAATGTATGGACAACAGTAATGAATAAACATGTGAAAAATTGATTTAGAGTTTGCAACATCTGCCTGACGACCAGGTGGAAATCAGTTGTGTGTGATTGAATGATTTAAAGTGATTTATATTTCTCAGAAATCAGAGATATTGAACTTATATTTTTTGGGTGTGTTCTTGGGCTTAACATTTTACCTCAGTTGCTCTGAATGGCATGTAAATGATGTGATGAGCCTCTCGTATATTGTTCAGTAAGGAAACCATCATGCAGCTACATTAACATAAGGAGACGTGCACTCATAATTATCATGGCTGTTGGCTAAGAAAACCCAGCAAGCAAACGTACGAATAATATGTACGAGATACGTGTACAAGTAAATAACTGGGCGAGGGGCGTTTGTAGTGCTTAATGGTTGGGTATTCACAACATGATTATCACTCCGAAGGGTTCTGACTATATATCCACTGTTTAGACACAAAATAAACTCGCGTATGGATAGGACTGAAGAACCCTTCGGACTACAGTGTGCATGTTATTATGTGACGTACAGAATGTAAATAATATATACTGCAAAATTTCCTTCCGTTAAAAAAACATTTTATCATGTTCCTGTGGTATGGTGAACGTACAATGTATTGTACTCCGTCCATAGGTTCTAGTTTCGTTTATATATGACATTATGGTACAGTGAGATACATTGTGTCAACTTCATGACCCTGACGTTTGACAGTTTGACAGACGACACGTTAGTCTGCAGTGTATTGATGATTGCTAACAAAAACGAAATATTTTACATAGTTCAACATGTTATGAAGGTAAACATACTTGACAAGTGTCTCACAAGATGACGGTATTTGTGCAAAACATGTTTGGAAAAAAGCCGAGAATGTTTTCGGCTCCCTATCGCCAAGGGCGCAGACATCTTGCATTACTGCAGTGAATACAATACTCGATGGTGATTGGTCAGATATTATCTCACAGCACTATTTAAAGAGAGCAATAAAAGGGGCGTTTTAAGAAAGCAAAATACGTATCGATATAAGGGATTCGAGACAGAAATCAATATTAAATCATATTGTTGTTATATTGTTGTTTAGTTTTTCAGTAATGCTTTGTATATCCTCATCCATAATGATGCGTTCAGAATGATTGAAGAATATATTTTTAAAAAAGACATGCGAGTGAATCGCGCCTTTACCTATAAATATGGAAGCTGATACAGCACAGCCGAATAGTAAATAAAACTGCATCTTACAAATATTTCTTTTGTATTAAGATGATAAGTTGAAGGTAAAAAAGATGTCACCTTGAACGTCGTACAAGATACTAAGTTAAGTTTAGTGTACAACTTAACAATCAACAAGTTCTGTATGTTTACAAATAACATCATCCGTGATTTTATTTCTAAATGATTATCTCCTTACAAAAGGTTTCATACACAATATTTGTAAGCCATACTAAATGTTAAAAAATTGTATTTTTAACAATATATACTGGGCATTGAAAAATAAAGTGTTTTGCACTCTCATCACATCGACAGGATAGGTTGTCAGTAAAATTGACATGGAATAAATGATAACTTAGATTACCACCATTATTGTGTGTACGACACTGTAATAGGGTCACTTTCGTTTCTCAAAATTATTAGCAACCTTTCTCACCTTTAGTTATTGTATTTGGTGTAATAGATTTTTTTAAAAGTGTTGCAAAGTGGTGCAATTTCTTCTTTTATCCACAGGCAAATTATTCCATTAATTACATGTATTGAGTAGGAAATTAGACATAGTAAGACTGTGACGATAGTGAGGGATAGGATATTCTTCTCTATTTCTCAAATTATATGCAGACACGACAGACACATCGGGGGAAAGAAGAGACGTAAGATAGTTTGGAGAATTTTCTAACCGGATAACATTAAAAAGACTGAGTTTTCTATGCATTCTTCATTGCTTTAATAATTGTCAATTTAATTCTTCATATAAACGAGATTTACCTATAGATATGCACAAACCTGTTATAATTCTAGCAGCTTCAAACTAAATGTTTTCAATAGCTTTTGTATGTTTTTCATTACAGATTTAGAAGTGGTTGAACATTTCATACATTAAGTATATTTTAATTTTTATAATATTTGTAATACACTTCTTACTTTTGTTTATAATGCTATCAATACGAAAACTCCGTTTAGCATCCTTACTAATATCAACAACTAGATGCTTGTGAGAGTCCGTCAATAATAATTTTTTGTTCATGGGACGGGGTCAAAAATTATGTTACTAGTGATTCTGTTTTCTGTGGATTAAAAGAAGTGAACAATTTATCAGACCAACGTGTAGCAACCTTAAATTAAAATGTATACATTGCACTATTTTTAGTTGAATATGCTTATGCAATACCATCAGCGAACAGAGGAGTGACTGATAAAATATTGTCTGATTAGTTGCTAAAATAGTGTTGGATACAGGATCCGGATTCGAGTGAACATCGCCTGATCGTGACAATATCAGCATTAGTTCAACATTCTGATTTACAACAGTTTGAAAAAAGTTAAATCATTACATAAGAAGATATAAACCGTTTTCTTAAGTTTGAAAACCCAGTGACAAAATTGTCCGACAAAAATTGACCGAAATGAAAAATATAGAACTCAGAGACACACCAATTAACTGATTGTGGAAGTTTGCGGTCTCACATCACCATACATTAACGCAACACCCAACCACAAAACGATACAATGTTTTTTTTTTTTTTTTTGTGAAACGGTGATATGAAACAAATGAGAGTAGTTGTGATGCAAGTCCACAAGTGTCGTCTACTTAAAAACGGAAGAAATAGACACAGGAAGAGATGACAGATACCCGAGTAAGATTTGTAAAAAAAATACATTTGATAAAAATTGAAATATCATCTTTCGATAAAAGATCCGGAAGGGTGCTTCATTCATCTTTTAGACAGACATACTTATAATGTATACCTTCAAATATCTTCAGGCGTGCAGTCTCTCATGTTTAGTAACAGATTTATATATATGCGGTAATGTTTTATAAATGTTTCTTGGTAGTAATTGTGTTCCATTTAAATGTATATTGGGAGAATGAGTACAAATAAATTGTAATTCCATGTCTCATCCCTTTTTCTTATGTTTATAATAAATTATATGCATGTTTAAATTAAATAGGAGAGGTCTGTGTCTGGTGGTTTTATTTCCTACTATACAATACGAATCTTTTTCTGACATCATGTACAATGTGTGACGTAATTCAAAGTATTAAAAGACAAATATAACCAATTATAAATGTACATGTGTCTGATTTGTTTTTGATTTAACATATTTTTAAAAATGAAAAAATATCCACTTCAGTCAATATGTATCCTACTTAAAATGAAATGAAATAAGAAATGATCCATTCTGTACAGGATCACCGTGGCGGCTAAATGTATATAACTGCCAATCCTATTTACTTATTCGTCAGATTTCCAGATCAGATACAATGATTAAGATTATGACACGATTCTTATCAATATATTTCCAGCAATCCTTAATGGTGCGATGACGCTTAACAGCAATAATATTGACCCACCTGTAGAAATCTGGACAATAATGATATAACAAAAATTTGTATAGAATTCCCAATCAGTCTAGGCACTGCATTTGAGTAAATACCGTAATACAAGCTAGCCATTGTCCAGTCCGTCGTGCTGACCGCTGTTAGGTAAGGTTTGTTTTTATATACGTTATAACGGTTTACAGATCAGATTTGATCTGCTCAATGTGTTTACAATTTCACCTGTCAATTTTTTTACCTGACACACATTTAACTAGACACACACTGACCAGTGGCCCATTACCAAGATGCTCCTGGTCAAGCACGCGCTCCTGTTGTTTTAGACAAGTACTTTTACACCGTTTGGATATGGAGAAGAATACTCAGGGCTTTTAAAAATCTTGTGGTATATAACAGTGATCGAAACGGAGTTCCATCACCACTTCAACGCTGATTCAATAAAGTAACAGTAGAATCAAAGACGACAAGAAAAGATGGCGACGTCGAGGAAATCTGATGCTAGTGAAGGTATGGTTATTCCATAATCAAGGTTAGAATATAGTTTTAACATAGAATCGATAGTGATAGAATCTTACTTGAAATAGATAAAGGAAAGGTTTGAAACAAGAAGTGACAAGGTATCATGAGGCTTTATTTGATTATACCTTATTGGACGAGAAATTAACGGAGATTAAAATATGAAAAACGGATAAATAAATAAATAAATAAATAAATAATTTATTCATTTATTGACTTATTTATTTATTTTTGAATGAGAATGGTAGTGACCATATTCGCATTTTCTGGTTTTTGTTTTTCGTCTTTTTCATCATGTGTTCTTTCTACAATTTCCAGGAACCTATTGGAGCAATGAACAAACCAAACCAAATATAATGATTGTCAAGGACACAAGGGGTCTGTGTGAGGACCTGAAATACGTCATTTCTGTCCCTGACCTGTGTGATGTCACATTCCTCGTGGGAGAAGACAGATTACCCGTGTACGGAGTTAAAGCCATTTTAGCCACCAGAAGCAGGTAAAAATCAGTTTTTTGTTTTTGTTTTTTTTTAATGCGAGCAAAGTTACCGGTCACAATTTATTTCTCTATTAATTATCAGCAATCAACACAATGCTTTTGATGTACTGCGATAGAAGTTGCCTCCCTTCGTACGATCATTTCATTTTCCGAGTGTTAAAAAACATATTACGCATTATAAATTAACACCAGATTATGTCCAGTCCAGCTAACACGTGTAATTTGAGAACAAACAACAATGATATAAACTCTAGATGTTGAAGCTAGCCATTTATCTTCGGATATGAAATCCATCAAATATTTCCTTTTTTGATAAAGTTTTATGTTTAATATTTAAAAGTGTTCGATCAAGGCTAGAATGCTGGTAGTTTCGTTGTCGTTAGTCCTTCTCTTATCTGAGAATATGACATACCTATTTGGTTTCACCAAGATGCAGAAGACGCTTACTCTTCCGAAACACCATATTCTAATTCTCCTTGTAGTTTTTCACTGGTCTCTGTGGATTTCACCGAATTTGAGTTCGTATCGAGATTCTGTTAATATGTTATTTTTCTTACTGTTTTCCAATCTATTCTTAATATCGATGTGAAAAAGACATGTTATCGATGTCTTTATGATATATATAGTATATACAATATTTTCCTCTCAATCTGTTCTTATATGGGAACGTAACATTACCTACAGAGATTGACCTAGATATAAAGTTGCAGGTTTTGTCGATGAAGCAGAAGATACTTACCCTTCTAAAACACACATTATTATTATCTTTGTACAGTGTAAAGAGTCTCTGTGTAAATACTTCTTCTGGTCATATTTTGCCCATGTAACACCAAATTTGAGCTTGACTCTGTTACGCGTGATAGACGATATATTCTGGTTCTGTTTGCAATAACTTGTGCTTAGTTCTTTGTTCTGTTTTTTTGGCAACAACTATGATTTAACTGATTTCCAATATATTTTCAGGCACATGTATCAACTTTTATTAGCTGCAACAAGAGATGCAAAGAAAAAATCAGAGAAAAACAAATCAGTTGTCAAGAAAGCGTTTAAGAAAATTCAGCACCTACTTAGCCCGTCATCTTCCGAAAAACTGAAAACAATGTATAACGACCAAGTTGTACAGAAAGTGACGGTGGAAGTGAAAAACTTTGACGTCACAGTGTTCGAACGGTTCATGTGTTACGTCCATTGTGGAACAGTAGCTGTCGACATATCAAACGTCGTGGGTAAGTTCCTGTAGTAAGGTCATATGTGATGAGTGTCACGTGTAATAAGGTCAGATGTTAACGGATGTCACTTGTAGTAAGGTCAGATGTAACGGGTGTCACGTGTACAAAGGTCAGATGTAACGGGTGTCACGTGTGGTAAGGTCAGATGCAACGGGTGTCACGTGTGTTACTGGAGGTCCTCTCTTAATTTCGTTTGTTTCTTTCGGTCGTCTCAGCTCCTGTTTTACATACTAGATATTCTTGTGATGAGGTACAATGTAAAACTTCTATAGAACAACAGTTTCTCAGCCAGGGACCTAAAATTACACGCATGTCTCTTTGACAAATTTAAGTAATAGGATGCTACTGAAAAATGTACGAGTTAAAACTCGCATAATTTCTAAAGAGTATCAATTTTTTACCTTCTTCTTTTTTCAACAAACCAGATTTGTTGAAATCTTATTAAATTCAATTTGGTATTTCTGTTTCAGGTTTAATGAACGCAGCCCACACCTATGACTTTCCTGAACTCCGTGATGCATGCTGGGAGTTTGCCAACAATTACATTAAGCCAGACACGCTGACACAGCTCACGTGCACAGCAGGAACGTACATACATTTTAAGTACACACGTATGCTGATGCAAAAGGTACGTTTTCTCTTTTAAGCCGTTTTAACTGAACACTTAGATAATGCCGACCTAATGTCCACCTACTACACGGAGACCTCGTCTCGAAATGACCCAGGTTGTTGAAGTGATGATAAACCGAGCAAACGTAATGTGTTCAGTGACGACTGGTTTAATAAACAAGATGCTTATATTTCACAGATTCGACAGTTTCTTAACAAGACACCTGATATAACGAGTAATTGCCCGGAGCTGTGTGGAACCGGCGGATCACACAAGGAAGAATACATGCTTTGATAGACTTTTGAAGAAAGCAGCCCATGATGAACCACATTTGATTGCATTCACGAAGGATATGTCACGTCCTAAATTGAATTGATTATAAGGTTTTGCTAAAAACTAACATGTAGTGTACATCGTCATGGGGCTTTTGATCAAACCAGATTGGCGTTATTTTACATGTGCGTATACATGTATTGTACATCGTCATGGGGCTTTTGATCAAACCAGATTGGCGTTATTTTACATGTGCGTATTAAATATAATAGTGCTATTTTTTTGCCGATAACGAGTTGGTGATTTGTACATGGCTCTGCGGCATATTTCTGTACAGATCTATTGTTTGATAAGTCATGAACTGTCTGTGAACTACCTTTCTATGCGATATTTTTACATCGAGACCGCTGGGTATAGAGTGACACTCATTAAAAGTCCTCTTTTGGCTGATGTTGATTAGATTTCAAATGCTATTATCTTGCGTGGTTGAATTGGTAAAGACGTAGATGATCATAACTCGATTTCCCTCAATTATTTCTGAAATATTACAGTTTAGTGTGTAATTAATCCCGACAACGGCTGGTAACCATGAGAGAGCGGCGTCGTTTTTATAGCTGGTTTATGCTTTAATGTCGGTAAATAATTTTACGTTCAGTGGCAAAACATTGACAGGAATTTGTATCTACTATAATTAAGGTCTGATGATATTTTTAGACTAGCTTTTTATATCGATGTACATGTTTTTAGTGTCTATACATGTAAATACATGCACCCTTCAATCTTAATAAATTGTCTAGATATGTAGATATATGTACAGTGTCTCGTGAGTTGTACGTAAACTAATTTTACATTTACCTGTAGACATCGGTCTATGCATGTATTTATGTGTGTGGGGATACTGAAATTTGAATTGTGAAGACGGAACACTTAGAATATTGAGAAAAAAAAACATAATAAAAGATATATATATTTAAGTAAATATTGAATAGTTTTATTGTTTAATTACACAATCAAAAATAATTACACGTAAATTGATCTTGAGGAGGTGCCAGATAGTAAATGGACATACCGTATTTGAGTTGGTTACAATTTCATCAAGTGTTCATAGTCCTTTGCGTTTTTTTTAATGCTTGATATTATGTAAACAACTTTCGTAGACATCACAACTAGAATCCATGAGATATCGCGATCTTTCGCTTCGTCACATAGCATATTTTTTGCAATTAAATTATATCACCCATTTTTGCTCACGTGCAGATTTAATCATGATAATTAATCTGAAGTTACATAGCCATTTTATGTACGTTATCACTTCTATCTATGCTATTTATAGAACACATGAATACATATCGCACTCTAAGCTTTGAAGACAACCTATTTTATAAGTTGCCTGTCTACAGCAATACATTTTTGTCATGTTTATCAAGGAGGGAGGTTGTGATCCGATATCACACTGATTTACCAGACGTTAAATATTTTTGCAGATGTCTTCCTACATGGGACTCGCTACATGTGAAATAAGAAAATACCTATACATTTGTATTTCGTTAGATTAACACGCATTGAAAAAAGTAAAACAAATGTCCAGCATTTACATATGGTAAGCCAAAGTGGGAAAAAAGTCATCAAAAATTTTAAAATCCAAAACTCGATTTATGGATATTAATAAAAATGATTTTTTTCCCACTTCGGCTTGTCATATGAACATACTTATAAGAGACTTTCATTTGTTTTTGGAATAGGTTTATTTTGTGTATATACAAACTGTTTACTTAACATATATTTCTTCAGTTTCTATTCACGAATGAGGATTTTTCATTTTACCATGCCCCTGGTGAGGTAAAATGAAATAATCTTGAAGAGTTTTATTATTTTTGTTAATTATTATTTAACATTGCAAACGGCATAATCAATCAAAGTATGAAAAATAAAACAAAATGAAATAAAATCATCTCATTAAATAATGGAAATAAATGAGTAAAATTAATGTTATGTTAATCAGAATATTCGGTTAATCTGTTGGCACTTCAGTACTATTTCTGTGTTCAAAGCAATTATGTATAAGAGGAAAAATGCAAGGGGTTTTTACTTTATTTTTTTAAAGAGAGAATCTTCTTTGTGATAATATATAACTTTTGTAATTCCACTTGTAGCGAGTGATAGAAGGAAGAATTTATTGAGTGATGACGTAAGTGTATTAAACTAGAAACCACTTGTGATTTCCGGTAAACAAGGAACATACATGTTGTGACAGATAGTCGGTGAAACTGTCGGGTTCTCGGATAAACATTTAACAGCACATGTTGTAGATTCAGACACGTGAACGTGACACCTTCCCAAATATAACCCCAGAACTATAAACAAAGCGATTTCTTTTTTCAATATAATGAATTATCATGTACGTGTATCCCTCAATCTGAGATCTTTTGAATCGCGTTTTCTAGCAGTCTTGATAAGTTAGATTGATTTAGTTTAGAATAATGCTTAAGTAGATTTTTGCAAAACTTTCTTCTAGAGCGACCCCCCCCCCCCCCAAAAAAAAAAAAAAAAAAACCCGATTTTATTTTCAATATAGACACGGATAACAAATGTATGTATTTATCAGTCTGAGATCCGCTGAAACATGCTGCAATAAAAATGGTGCTATCTGACGCAGTATGTACAGGCAAGATTAGTACTAATTAGTCTTAACATTAAAATGAATCCTTCCCAAACCTTATATTACGGCCCATAAAAATCGATTTCATTTCTGTTTAGATTTTCCGAATTCAATTCGTCACTTTGTAAAAGCTACGGTGAAGGAATCGAACAAGCTTCCACGGTCGTTTATACACTGAGAGGCCAACTCTAAATAATTTTGTGATATTAGGGTTTATTGTAACACCTATAACAATTATTATCGCTCCATAAACCAGCATTTCGTTTGATAAAGAACTTAAAATAGAATTCCCTAACACTATCTATGTGTTGTTATCATGCACCAATTCTTGCTGTTTATAAAACTTTAATCAAAATCTCGTTTCGCCATATGTGACTAGTCAATGTAGGAATTGGTGCATAAAGAGCAATATACACGGGATGTTGTAATGTCATATAGGCAAACCTATATAGCAATGTAAGTCGCTATGTTAGATAGCGTCAGGTCAGATGTACGGTATAACCACTCTCACCAGTCGAATGGCATGACCGCTAAGGTCAGGTGTGCGGTATAACCACTCTCACCAGTCGTATGACATGACCGCTAAGGTCAGGTGTAAGGTATTACCACTCTCACAAGTCGTACGGCATGACCGCTATGGTCAGGTGTAAGTATTACCACTCTCACAAGTCGAACGACATGACCGCTAAGGTCAGGTGTAAGGAATAACCACTCTCACCAGTCGTATGGCATGAGCGCTAAGGTCAGGTGTAAGATATTACCACTCTCACCGGTCGTATGGTATGACCGCTTAGGTCAGGTGTAAGGTATTACCACTATCTCCACGCCTATGGCATGACCGCTAAGGTCAAATGTAAGAAATTACCATCCTCGCCAGTCGTATGGCATGATCGCTTAAGTCAGGTGTACGGTATAACCACTCTCACCGGTCGTATGGCATGACCGCTAAGGTCAGGTGTAAGGTATTAGCACTCTCACCAGTCGTATGGTATGACCGCTTAGGTCAGGTGTAAGGTATTGCCACTATCTCCACGCCTATGGCATGACCGCTAAGGTCAGGTTTAAGGTATTACCACACTCACCGGTCGTATGGTATGACCGCTTAGGTCAGGTGTAAGGTATTACCACTATCTCCACGCCTATGGCATGACCGCTAAGGTCAGATGTAAGAAATTACCATCCTCGCCAGTCGTATGGCATGATCGCTTAAGTCAGGTGTACGGTATAACCACTCTCACTGGTCGTTTTTGCATGACCGCTAAGGTCAGGTGTAAGGTATTAGCATTCTCACCAGTCGTATGGTATGACCGCTTAGGTCAGGTGTAAGGTATTGCCACTATCTCCACGCCTTTGGCATGACCGCTAAGGTCAGGTTTAAGGTATTACAACACTCACCAGGCGTATAGCATGGTCGCAAAGGTGAGGTGTTAGGTACATTTGTGGTATCGCACAATGTTACATGATGTTCGATGTTCGCATGATGTCTGCACGATAGGAAAACTTAACGAAAAAAGCTTTCACACATGTGTGCGCACGTCGTGCGATTCTATCGTGGTTGATATAAATTTCGGAATAACTTGTAGATAAGTGTGGGTTATGGTCTACTTATTTTCTTAATATATATCAGTACAGCTAAGTACACTTCCTATTTAAGTCATTGCTATATAGGTTGGACACGTTTAAATGTATCAGATACGGACTGAATAGTTAGATACACGCATAATTCAGAGTATTTTTTTCACAAAGTGCCACACGTGACCAGCCTTAGGGAACGGACACTCATTATATATCCATTATATATGTAAATGGACATCTTATTTTGTCTCGTTAATGTAACATCTAAAATCTCATACCGTCAGAAAGCAAAATTTTATTTCCATTACCTCTGTATCACTCTTATATTTCTATCAGTTTGTTAACAAAAAATATGTACTAAGGTAAATCCTAAGTGGGCGACCGAGCCGGACCCGGATCCGGACCTGTCACGTATATACCCGTATACAGGTAAACTTTTGTTGTCCGAGGCACCAGAACTCGCCACTTTCTGAGGAGTGAAACTTTATACGATAATACTAATCAATGCAGTGTCCAGTGTTATTTAAAAAAACTGTCGGATTGAAAATAACTTTTATCATCACCGATCAATTTTAATATCACTGTAATCGCTATTTAGTAATATCTTCACGAGTTTTCCGTTATTTTCATTCCGTAATATTGGCGAACAATTTTTACTGAGACGCACAAAATGTGCAATCCTATGAAGTGAGTGCACGATGTATGCAGGATCTGCGTTACCACAACAGTATTATCACGCTCAAAAGACTTAAGTCATGACCGCAAAGATCATGTGTACGGAACTACA